ACAGATTTTGTACTTCCATTTGGCAAACGTTGGCTTTCCTCTTCTCTCTTTTGGAGCTGAAATGAACATTGCTGTTTTTTTTTGGGGGGTGGGGGGGGCGGTTCCACAGCTGCAGCTTCAACTTACATAATAGCTTTTTCTCATGCCAACACACTCTTGTTTATGCACCAGCATCAACAAGGTCATCTGAGCCCAGGGAATGGTGTATTCAACTCCTGTAAGGAGCCACAGTATTTGTGTGGGTCACCAGAAATAGTAGCTCCTGTTCTGGTTAAATGCCTTAAAAGATTTTGTTCCTTTGGAGTTGAGATCTGAAAGCTACAGATCCACCACTGAGCAAAAGAGAACTTGCATTAATTAATCTCATACTTGCATTAATGTCCACTGCTGCACTACTAGACAGCAGATGGTGGAACCATAGCAGAATGTTGATTCTAAAATGGTGTGCAATGTGCCCTACATACTAAGAAAAAATGAACTTTGATTCTAAATTCTTTGGCATTAGGCTTTCTTTTCTTATAGCACAGTATGATGGAGAATTCTCTCAGTGCATTGAGGCACAAAGGCAAATCCCAAATTCCTACCTTGTTTTTACACAATTACTGTTCACTTTATCTTCAGAGGATGGCAAAACAAACAAGTACAGATGGAATTAGAAAAAGGAATCACATTTTTAATACCCATCAAACATTCAAATTAGAAATAATTTAATGTTACAAGGAGGAGGCAGATGATAACTATAACTATAACTAGTTTTATTTGGGATCCCAAATAAAACTCTGTACCAGTCCACCCGTATTTTATGTTTCAAGTTTCTCTGCAGTTTAATTTAGTAAGGGCTTTCTGACAGTCAGCACAGCACCAAGTGGGTATTGGAATCCAGAGTTTCACTGGTTGCTTTGTGCTGTTTTTCATAGATTGATAGATTCCAAGGCCAGAAGAGACCACCATCATGATCATCTAGTCTGACTTCCTGTATAACATAGGTCATAGAACTTCCCCAAAATAATTCCCTGAGCAGATCTTTTAGAGAAACATTCAATCTTGATTTAAAAATTGTCAGTGATGGAGAGTCCGCCACGATCCTTGGTAAGTTGTTCCAGTGGTTAATTACCTTCACTGTTTAAAAAAATACATATTATTTTCCATCAGAATTTGTCTAGCTTCAACTTCCAGCCATTGGATCATGTTGTACCTTTCTCTGTTAGATTGGAGAGTATATTATTAAATATCTGTTCCTCATGTAGGTACTTGTACACTATTATCAGTTCACCTTCTCTGTAAGCAAAATAGTTTGAGCTCTTTGAGTCTTTCCTTATAAGGCATGTTTTCTAAGCCTTTAATCTTTCTCATGGCTCTTCTCTGTAACCTCTCCAATTGTTTAACATGCTTCTTGAATTGTGGACACCAGAACTGGACACAGCATTCCATCAGCAGTCACATTAATGCCAAATATAGAAATTAAATAACCTGTCTACTCCTGCTAGAGTTTCCCCTGTTCATGCATTCAAGGGTTGCATTAGTTCTTTTTGGTCACAGCATTGCACTGAGAGCTTGTGTTCAGTTGTTTATCCACCATGACCTCAATCTTTTTCAGAGTCACTGCTTTCCAGGATAGTCCCCCATTGTGTAAATACTGTATGTCCTATATTCTTTGTTCCTAGATGTATGCATTTATATTTAGCCATATTTAAAATGCATATTGGTTTTGTGCCCAGAATACCAAGTGATCCAGATTGCTCTGCATCCGTGCCCTGTCCTCTTATTTACTACTCCCCAATTTTTGTCATCCTCAAACTTTATTAGTTACTTCGTTTTGTTCCAGGTCATCGATTAAAAATGTTAAATAGCATGGGGCCAGAAACCAATCCTTGTGGGATCCCACTGGAATCGCACCTGTTTGATTCCCTGTTTACAGTTACATTTTGAAATGTATCAGCTGCCAGTTTTTAATCCATTTAATATGTGCCATGTTAATTTTATATAGTTATAGTCTTTTAGTCAAATGTCATGTGGTACCAAGTCAATGCCTACACAAATCTAAGTGTGTTTCATTAATACTATTTTATCACCCAAACTTTTAATATTATCATAAAAAAGATAACAAGTGAGTTTGATATCTAGCTTCCATAAACCCACGTTGATGGGCATTAATTATATCCCCTTCCTTTTAATTCTGTATTAATCAAGTCCTGTATCAGCCGCTCTGTTATCTTGCCAAGCATCAGTGTCAGACTGACAGGCCTATAATTACTTTGGGTCATCCTGTTTCCCCAACATTAGCTTTCTTCCAGTCTTCTGGAAC